TTGTTTTTGTTTTTGTTTTTGTTTTTTTTACTAAATTTGAATTTGTGAATAGAGGATGAAGTGGAAAAATAAATTTGTAACTTTGTGGAATCAGCTTCCTACAGTAAAAGATGGAGTATAGTTGTGGATACACAAAACTGACATTTAACTTAACAATATTTTAAGCAGCAATTTCAAATTATGTTAAAAAAAAAAAACCTTTAGCAATCCTCTGGCCAATTCCCTTGCACTGTATAAAAACCACAGTCAGGCCGAATGACTGCACTGTCTGGCTCACCTTGCCCGAGCTGCTTGTGTTGGCGTTTTCCATCCCAACACAGGCTTTCCTATCCCTCTTTTCCCAGTAGTTCAAACTTTTGCCATAATGTAAAACTAGAAGCCAAATAAACTTACCTTAAATCTGATCTTCACTTCTACTCCCCTTGTAAACCAATTTTATGCAAATACCATATCCAAGGCAAATGGAACGACAAGGAGAGGCTGCAAGGTTGTTAGCAGTAGATCGGATTGTAAAGTTGGGTGCCGTGTTTATAACTAAGCGCTGTTTTCAGTTGTTTATTTCCCATTTATGTACAATTGGATAAGAAAGGATAACTTCTTATTTATTTATTGTTTATGGTTTTCAACATTCTTACATTTTGTGCTTATGCTCTTTTTATCCACTTTCTTATGCACAAGATTAAAGGTTAATGTTTTTTACATTAAATTTATAAAAATCATGTGGACATAAAAACTGCAATTTCATTCCTTTAAAAAAGCAAAATAACATAGCAGGTTGCTTTGTATTCTTAAATGTCTGTTTGTTTATTTGTTTGTTTTTGTTACCAGGAAACAAACTCACAGCCTCACGCTTGCCAGGCAGGTGCTGTGCTGCTGAGCTATATCTCTGGTCCTGTATTCTTAAATGTTGAAGTATAAAACATTAATCTAAATAAACTCCCAAATGTGACTATCATCCGTAAGCTTTGACAGGTTAAATGTAACAGTGTTTGGAATATTGATTTAATTTATCAGATAATTTATCAGAAACTTCAAATATTTATAATTGTGTGTGTGTATGTATATATATATGTGTGTGTGTGTGTGTGTGTGTGTGTGTGTGTGCACGGACAGAGGGAGAGAGAGAGAGAAAGAGAGAGAGACAGAGAGAGAGAAACTATTGAGGAGGGGGTAGAATGTGTGAAAGGATCCACTGAGGACATAGCAATAATTGTGATTCCTAGAAAATCAGGAATAACCCAATGATACTCCCAGACTTACACTTTCTTTTAAAAATGTATTTATCTGAGCCACTGGAAAATTCTCATCTTCTATTGATACAGATATCTGGGGCAACAACTCACTTGTCTTTATCGGTGAATAAGTTTTAAATTTTCATTTGGTGCGTTCTTTGAAATCCCGGCCTTTATAACTCAATGATAATGAAACGTGCACTTGGGAACCTTAACGTTTAAATTTCACTAAGCTCATGTGTGTGTGTGAAATTGGTTTAAACTAATTCAGATTCTGAGATGGCTCTTTTGCTCAGGTGAATATATCATTTGATACATAACCATAGTAAAATCATTAATGTGATTTAAAACTCAAATCTCTTATCAGAAATATTACAGTTCAGACATTTGTTTGCACATATATAAACTAAAATATAATTATCTCAGTTTGACTCAGCAACGAAATTTAATTATTGTTTCAAAGAGTTTCTACATTTTCAACATATAAAAATACTGTTGCCATTCCAGCTTAACCTCTACCTTGTTTACTTGCTTCTGTCTTGGAAGTGTTTTCTAAAATATAAGGTAAAATATAGAAAAAACACTTTCCTTGATTATTCAGATGTGTCTCCTTCATTCTTTTCTGTCTGTTCCAGTGGAGTGTTCCAGTGAATGACACCTGGTACACGTCTTTACCAGCGTCTTCTTACTTTTGAATCCATGGCCAAATTACAGTTCTAACTGCTCTTTGATTATATTTGAATTGAAATTAAGATTATATTCCTTTTTCTTTCTCTGTCCTATTTTATTGCCTTTTCTTTCCATATGAACTAAAATTATCTCTCAGAGACACAATAGGAAACATTGGGAGAAACATAATTTATGATACCTTTTCAATTGGAGCGTTTTGAATGGTAGCTTACAACTTCTTAGTTGGATTGAAATCCACTTGATGGTCCAGCATTTAATTAGAAAATATACTAATAGATAAAATATTTTAGGGCTGCAGGTATAACTGAGAGGTATAAGTGCCTGCCTGGCAAGCTCACGGTCCTGAGTTTGATTCCTGGTACCAAAAAAAAAAATATTCTGGTCCCCTCTGGCAGTAGAGTTTAATATTTTTCTGCTAAACTTTGATTTGGTGAATGTTTGTGTGTGTGTGTGTGTGTGTGTGTGTATAAGTGTGCATGGGGTTACATGAAAACTGTGGTCTTACTCTATGGATTATCAGAAAAAACTAAGAAGTAAAGTTATAAGGATCACATTGCTCTAACCATGACAATGAACACGTTCATGAAAACATGTCTGAACTTTCCTGAAATACTAACACACCACGATGAAACCCTAGAAACGTGGGCCCTTCATCCTTGCCGTCCTGCTGCGGAGAGCTGATTGTCTGATCACGTGTCCGCAGCTGAGGCCTGGAGGTGGAAGAGAGAACAAAGTTTCGCTTTGGCCAGTGAGTTCTGTTGTCTCAGGAACCCACCCTTTTGATGTCGGAATTTCTGAAGAAGGAGAATACACAGTAATATACTATTTGCCCAGGTTTTTTGGTTTCTGAGCACAATCAGGCTTGTTCTATAAATAAAACAAAGCTGAGTATGGGGGAAAATACAGATTGCAGATATACTCCACTCTTGGCATTGTTGACTTGCAAATTCACTGTCTGGTAACAATTCCTCTCAATAATATCTACCTACTGTACCCAATCCTCCGAGAGTACGCTGCCTCTGTGAAACCTTCTTGTAACAGCTGAGAAGCAGCCATGTGCCTCTTGCTTCTTCCTGCAGACGTGAGTCACTACGCTCAGTGCATGAAGCCCTTTGTCTTCCACATCAGGACCGCAGGTGCTCTTTAAAACTCGCCTTTGGGCTCGGGGTGCATCTCAGGGCGGAAGCTGAGCATGTCTGATGCTCTGGTTTGATCCCTGCACCACAGAAATCCACCTTTCCTTTTGTCCTTGGCCTTCTCTCTTTCTCATCATATCTTAACTTAGAGGATAGGGATCCTTTGTTAACGCATTTCCTGGGTATTTTATACAGAGTTTTACAGAAGCAATTCTTTAAAGTGCCTGTAAGGATCATCCTATGTAAGAGAGTCACCGTTCTCTCAATATTACATATATTTCATTTCTTCATAAGACACTCCCCATATTTTTCTAAGTTGGATTTTGTGAATCTGTGAGTTCCTAAGTGAGAGTTTGCCTCTAGACACTGAGCTGAACCTTAGAAGTGAGTGCTTGGTCCCCTTCCTTTCCGCTGCATCTGAGAAATCCCAATGACGCTCCCCTTGTTGGAAGGCCAAAAGAGCAGCGCCTCTGAGCGTTTCTCTCCTGGGAGCTTTTTCCATTTCTTTCTCTTCAAGTCTAGAGACACAAATGTGCTCTTAAAGACTTGGCTGCCTGGGCTGTTTCTACCAGTGGCTTTTCTGCCCTTCACAGCCACTAAAGCCAAGCCCGTTGGGCGGCCCTGCACAGACACTGCCCTTCTGTTGGGGTTGGGACACCCCTGGCACGGAGCAGGGCCGGCGGGTGTGCGCCTCACTTGGGGTGAGCGAAGGAGCTCTGTGAGCAGCTCAAGTGGAAGCGGTCTTCCTTGCAACCCGCCTCTCTGCCCTCATCTCCGTGCCACTCTCTGTCTCCAACCTTTCCCATGCCCCGTCCCTTTGTCTCTGCGGCTCCATGCCAGTGTTCCCGCCCGGCGTCAGACCGCTGCTGATTCCGTCTTTCTCATCCGACTCTTCCTCTTTTGCATTATGATTTAGATCTACAAAATAAACCTAGACTAATGTAGTAACGGGTCCACGTGGTGTACATGTGCATCTGTATAAAAACTGCACTGGAGGTTTAACACTGGTGGGATTTTTGCAATCTGACAACATGTATCTCAGTTTTTACTGGGGATGTGCTTTTAATGTTTCATTTTTATCTTTTTTCCATGGATTCCACACTTTTGTGACCTTTTCACATTCCACATAGATGAATATTTGATCATTTTCCTTAGGTCCTAGGCTCTTGTATATTTATAGATACATAGATTTTTCTCCCAAACATTTGAGGTTAAAAACAAAACCACATTGCTTCAGGTACATAATTTGGTTTAGCAGAAGGAAGCAGCTGATTTCACTTGATTTTTTTTTCACTGAAATTTAACATTGAACCGTATGCAGTGGTCATTATAATCCAGACACTAGTTCATTTTACTTAATACATGGAGCATTTTTTCTGAGGTAAGTCATATGATTATGCCCACATGATAGGTAAGAAATTCCAAATCACAGAGGTAATCAATATATTATGCATACAGCAAAGAGTGAAGAAGTTAGATTTTGACATAAATAATTTTTCAAACTATTGTGTCCAGTCCAAACAAGCAAGTCAGTTAAAAATAGGAACATGCAGTCTTTTCTTGGTTTGCACCTACACACTAGCTTTGAAAACAATCACCAAGGGAAGTCTGAATGTTTCAGAGAGTGATGTGGAATGCTATTTTTTATGTATTTATTAAGTGGCTGAGCTTTTAGAGACCGAGAAACACTACTGGTTGCCTATAATCTTTTTTTCTCATTTGCAAAGTCCAGAGGAACCCCTTTGGATATCACCTGTTTTATTTTAGAAGTTACCTAATACCATAAATTTCTTAATACAACTTGGAAGTGCCAGACGTGCAAGAATAATAAGCACTGTCTGCTCTCATAGAGTTGCCCTTAAGCAAGTGAAACAGAGCAAAGGTGACGAGGAGAGCTCTTTGCACTCTGAACACCCTCCATGTTCTCTTGTCTTTACACCAGGTACCATTTCTGTCAACACACTGCGAACGCCCTATACTGCCCCCGGTGAGAGCGAGATTCTGGATCTGGACGATGAGCTGTACCTAGGAGGCCTGCCAGAAAATAAGGCTGGCCTTGTCTTCCCCACGGAGGTGTGGACCGCTCTGCTCAACTACGGCTACGTGGGCTGCATCCGGGATCTATTCATTGATGGCCAGAGCAAAGACATCCGGCAAATGGCTGAGGTTCAAAGCACTGCTGGAGTGAAGCCCTCCTGCTCCAGGGAGACCGCAAAACCGTGCCTTAGCAATCCTTGCAAAAATAATGGCATGTGCAGGGATGGGTGGAACAGATATGTCTGTGATTGTTCTGGAACAGGCTACCTTGGCAGGTCCTGTGAGAGAGGTAGGTTCTCAAAAACACGGCAACCAGTTCTTTTAGATGAAAAGTATATTAAGTGCTGACCTCAAGCTGATGATTGGAACATGTTTACTGAAGTAAACTCTGCGAGCTGAAGCCCATACCGGACATGGGTTACTGATCAGCCTTCAGTGGTTTTCAAAGGGCCTGGTTCTGCAAAGACACAGATCTTCATGTATATTGCAGGGATAGACATGTGTGTCTTTGGTCACATAGATCATGAACCTAAGATGTGTACAGCAATAACTACTCTCTTTTGCCTTTTAACTTCACAATGGGAGACAGTAAAAAATGTCATGAATTAGCCATATGTCTCACCCCTGGTGCTAATATCTACGGCTCACAAATGGCATTTAAGGTGAGCTAAGCTGTAGCTGGCAACTTCCCTGGCACTATTAGGTAAGACCTAAATTAGCCTGCTCATTTTACCCCACTGGCTTTTCCAAGAAGCAGCATTCTCACTGAAAAATAAACTGGCTTTAAATCATCTAAATTATAAATCACAATTATGAATTATTTTATAATTCTATCTTAATTCCAAAGGTACTTCCCTTTGGCTAGGAACTAACCAGTTGCTGATGACTTGTTTACCTATTTAACTTTAAGGCATAGCTGTATCTATTGCATTTCTGAGCAGGTTCCTCCTTCTTTTCTAGGAGGAGATAAAGCTACAGTTTTTCATGCTTTTCTTGGAAGGATAGAAATAAGGGATCAGGGCAGACTGAAGTGCTGCAGCTGTCACTGGCTGATCTGCAGAGTAGGCTGACAGGAGCAGCAGCAGAACAAATGGTTCCAAGCATGTCCCTCCATCGACCCAGTCTCTCCGATAAATGCTTTAGTCACTGCCCATTGTCACGTATTTTCTACAATGGAGCTGAAAATCAATATGAAGAAATATTGACGAGTTGTTCCATTGTCCGCTCATGCTACAAATAACACTGCCTTATTAGATATTTGATCTAAAAGTACCAAGCCTTTTCTTGTTAAGCCGCTCATTTAGTTACTCACTTTCCTTTATTCTTGAAATAGTTCCATTGATTTAACTTGAAATTTCCCAGAGAAAAGGTGGTATTTTGTAAAACCCACAATTAAAGTGTGATTCTGATTTTTTATGTTACAAATTGGGTACATTATCATATCAATTATATTTCTGAAACTAATAACTACAAACAGTTACTGCTGATAAATTAATAGTAAACAATGGATTAAATTTCCTACCACACTGCTGTCATTATTTAATATTCTTTTTCATTAAAGAGAATAAATATTTAAACAAATGAAAGAAATGATACA